ATGAGATCAAGCCCCGTGTCGGGCTCCATGCTTTGCGGGGAGTCTGCTTGAGGTTCTCTCTCTCCCTCTCCCTCTTCCCCCTCTTCTAATAAATCTATCTTAAAAATAAAATAAAATATTGTGTCACAGAAATAACCAGACTTTCTTGTCAGTTCCATTATAATGAACTCTCATCAGATCTTTAATAATGGACATTTAAAAATCTTTGTCATTTACAGAGTTTTTATTTTACTCTGTTGCTTTTATAAAAGTGTTCCAACAAATTGCTTTATCTTCAAGGAAACTCATGGAAAGTACTCTAGAATACAGGGCTGTTGTTCTTTTTAAAATCATTTTAAATTTAAAAAAATCACTTTAAGTTCATAAAACTGAACTGGGTAAGAATTTCCAGAACTAATGGAAAAACTGGGTTCAAGAAGAACAAGAATGAATAAAGTGGGACCAAAGGAACTGATGAGGATGATTATAATTTTTACGACTTTTTGTTTGAAACCTTGCTGGTTCTTGAACATTTGTTTTTTTTCCATATTTAAGAAAATTTTGTTCTCTTTTCTCTTACTATGGCTCATGGCGATTTGCTAAGGTATACCTTTGTAAACAAAGACGAAACATTAATTTCTCCTCTCCCTCCCTGATCCTGCCAGAAACTCTTGAGTGTTCTTTTCATGGTAATATATTTAGTTATGTGCGTAAGTTCAATAAGAATCTATTCTCGTAACAGGACACAACCGGAGACACTGGGTGTATTACCAAACCTTTGATTGGAACATCATATTTGAGAGAGATATGCAAGCCTCAGATATGATCAGATAGCTTTAAGGAGCTGTTTTAACCTTGGCTTGGCTTCCTGGCCTCCGGCTTTTAAGAATGCAATCTGAGTTTCATTATAGAAAGTTCCAGCAAAGGGGCGCCTGGGTGGCCCAGCTGGCTAAGCAGCTGTCTTCGGCTCAGGTCATCATCCCAGGGTCATGGGATCGAGTCCCTTATGAGGCTCCCTGCTCAGCAAGGAGCCTCCGCCTCCCTCTGCCTGCTGCTCCCCTAGCTTGTGCTTGCCTGCTCTTTGTCAAATAAATAAATAAAATAAAAAAAAAAAAAAAAAAAAAAAAAGCTTTCAGCAAAGCTGTCTTAAAAAGAGCTTTTATGGTCAATCACTATTCTTGCTGTGCTAATGTAGATAATCAGGCCAAGTTTAATACAAATAAATTAGTTTTACTGTGATTATCTTTGGCTAAAAGAAAGCAGACGGGTGGGAACGATCGCCGAGAGAAAAATTATGTTTGCACCTGTGCCTAGATATTAGATTCTCATCCTGCTCATTGCCTTTGAGGTTTTGGGACACACCTGTAAAATGGACATAATCCTGAATTCTTCTAGTTTCCTCAAACATCTGGCTGTGACTCCCCAACTGTTTCTAATTTTCTCCCACCCTTCCGATCTGGAATTGCCCTTGAATCTCTTTCAAAGGGACTATCCCAGGTCCATGTGGTCCTGCGCAGACCCGGAAGACCTCCAAAGTGAACTGACCAGGAGGAGAAGCAGCTGACCTTGAAGTTGAGTGCATCTACCCAAGATGCTGAGTCAAAACTTCGAAGTTCAGCTACACATGAAATCCTTCCTTCTTTTCTTTCGTTTACTCTGGGCTTGGCCTGAAGAAACAACACCATCGTCGGGATCTCCCAGGCCATGGGCGGGGCGGGGTGGGGGGATTGCTAATCTTTCAGACTGCTGGATTGGTCATCAAAAACTCTGACCTTGAGGCGCCTGGGTGGCTCAGTGAGTTAAAGCCTCTGCCTTCTGCTCAGGTCATGATCCCAGGGTCCTGGGATAGAGCCCCGCATGGGGCTCTCTACGAAGCAGGGAGCCTGCTTCCCTCTCTCTCTCTGCCTGCCTCTCTGCCTACTTGTGATCTCTGTCTGTCAAATAAATAAATAAAGTCTTAAAAACAAAAACAAAAACAAAAAACTCTGACCTATCTACGATGCCAGAGGCCTCTTGGTCCATTTCGCTGTTGCTGGCTAACAGTGCCAAACTTGGGGGACTGCGTGTTGAAGCTGTTATGCAAAGAAAGGGACACAAGGCAAAGGTAACCAGAATAAAATTCCCTGTGTGGCCTACAGCCCTTTAAATATTTCCAGGCCTCGTGGATGTCACCTTTCTGGTCCAGAATCCAGCAGGAAATTCCCAGAAGGCCTTTATAAGTCATTCATGCCTCCATGCAGAGCCTTACTTCCCCGGTTAGGAATAAATGTAAATGAGGCTATAATCAGGAACATCTTCTTAACTCTTGAAAGTATTGCAGAATTTGCTGCTAAAGCGATAGCTACCCAAGAAAAAGTCTTAGGTTCTCTGGCCCAAGTTGTTCTTGATAAGAGGATGACCCTTGACTATCTTTCAGCTGAGTGAGGTGTCTGGGCTGAGGCCAACACTACCTGCTATACCTGGATGGAAACTTCTGGGGAAGTTGAAACTCAATTACATGAACCCAGTTGTACCTAATTATGTACCATGACATAATTACACTGAGCCAGCTGCTTGGCTTAGAAAGGTGACTCCTTCAAAGGGGTCTTTGACTCATCTGATTTGGATTGGTTTGGGTCCCGGACACCATAGCTCTGAAGTGTGCTCCGGTCACTGGGAATTATCCTGTCTATAATAACCAGAGTAATCTCCCTGGCATGTTGTATTATCTCAAAAGTTTTATTTGTTTTTAAAGGATTTTATTTATTTATTTGTCAGAGAGAGAGAGAGCACAAGCAGGGGGAGCGGCAGGCAGAGGGAGAAGCAGGCTCCCTGCTGAGTGAGGAACCCGATGCCAGACTCGATCCCAGGATCCCGGGATCATGACTCAAGTTGAAGATAGACGCTTAACCGAATGAACCACCCAGACGTCCCTCTCTCAAAAGTTTAAATGCATGTTGGCAGCTACTAACCACCAAGAAAATGATCTCTCGAAAACTGGAACATCAGAAAGGAATAAAGACTAAAAAATTGTAAACCTGAAGTCATGATTTGTGAATACCAGAGATTCGGTAAAAAACCTTGCAAAAACCATCCTGACTTGTGGCCTCTATGTCACCCAGAGGATCAGTACATGCTGGGACAAGTACAGAGCAGTCGCTGAGAGTGGCACCCATGCCTTAAAATTTGATCACATCCTCTCAGTTTGGGAGTCCAATCAAAAGGGCAGAATCGTTAAAAAAAGGAACAACAGGCCAGAATAGAGTCACTTGTGCCAAACCCCACACCAACGAACCAAGACTTAATACCTAACCGAATGGCAGTTTTAGCTTTTTCTGGGAGAGGCTGGAACCAATCAGTCTGGAATTTCCTGATCAACCCCAGTGAGGTCATCTGCTTGATAAAGCCCCCTCGACAATCTGTCCTTTCCTAAAGGAAGGTTACCTTCTTGAAATAATCCTGTCTTTTGTTTATGACTGCCGTATCCTTATCCTCTTCTGTCCACAAAAGCTTTCCATTCTGTGTAGATCCTCAGAGCTCCTTTCTACATTCTGGATGAGCTGTTGCCTGATGCATGAAATGTTGAATAAAGTCCATTAGACCTTCAAATTTACTCAAATTCTGGGCTTTTTAAAAAGATTTTTATTAATTTGAGAGAGATAGAGCGAGAGAGCACAAGAAGGGGGAGCAGCAGAGGGAGAGGGAGAAGCAGGCTCCCCACTGAGCAGGGAGCCTGATTCGGGGCTCGATCCTGGGACCTGGAGATCATGACCTGGGCCAAAGGCAGTCGCTTAACTGACTGAGCCACTCGGGTGCTCTCAAATTCTGCTTTTCAATAAAACTTGTACAAAATCTTGTTTCTTTATTAAGGTCTTCCATTTTGTTTTTCTGCCTCCTCCCTCAGAGTTCAGCAGTGACATATCATTTTTTTAAAGGTTTTATTTATTTATTTGACAGAGAGAGATCACAAGTAGGCAGAGAGCCAGGCAGAGAGAGAGAGGAGGAAGCAGGCTCCCTGCCGAGCAGAGCTACACACGAAGTTGACATAAATGTCTTCAAGGAGCCACGAGGCTAGATCAGCCTGTAATCAATCCATCACAAATGGTGAGGGCAGAATCACCCAGAGGCAGGCAGGGAAGGTCGGGGAATGCTGCTGCCTGGAGGCGGGGACTGTCATGGTGGATCTTAAGGCATGACAGCAGCCTGCTGCCTTTCAAATTACTGATCCGCTGGGGGCTGGGGTTGAGAACAACTCAGAAAGGAAACTCACATCAAAGATCGCTGAATGAGAGGTGAGATCTGTGGGAGGAACTGAGGCTTTGGTGCATCAGGGCTCATGCCTTGGGACAGCTTTCTGGAGGATTCTCCTTCAAGCTCTGTTCCAAAGTGTAAGCTGCTGAAAGACTTGACCTTGGCGAAATGACATATTGCAGTGGTTCCTGCCCAAACTGTGATATTCTTACTTTTTCCCCAGATTGTCCTTTTTTCTAGAGCTTTAGGGGTGGAGCCCTGATCTCATCGATTCTCTGGAAATTCCAGGGGAAGGGATCAGACAGGGAAGTTTGCTCAAGATTACTCAGTGAGGGGTGCCTGGGTGGCTCAGTGGGTTAAAGCCTCTGCCTTCGGCTCAGGTCATGATCCCAGCGTCCTGGGATCGAGCCCCGCATCGGGCTCTCTGCTCTGCGGAGAGCCTGCTTCCTCCTCTCTCTGCCTGCCTCCCTGCCTGCTTGTGATCTCTCTCTCTGTCAAACGAATAAATAAAATCTTAAAAAAAAAAAAGACTACTCAGTGAACCAGGATTTGAATCCTTCATGAATCCAATCTGAGTGACAGAGAAGGCCAAGGTCAGGGGTGCAGGCACCTGTCCAACATCTGGACTGGAAATGGATCTGAAGTCAGAGGGATACCAGGAATCACCTCCCTGTGAGATGTTTGGAGAACCAAGCAACATCCTGTTTCTGCAAGGTGGTATTGCCAGGAATGTGCGGGAGGGGTAAAGGTCTCCATCCAGTGCCTGAGTCCGGCTTCATCACAGATTCAACCAACTACTTACTAAGCATGTGCCACGTGCAAATCCCACATTTGCTAGTCGATAAGGTAAGTCATACAAACTAGGAGAAGAGAGTTTAATTGCATATACGGGCAAGACAGAGTAAATGCCAAAGGAGTGGAGCAGAGTGAGTTCGCAAGGACAAGCTGGGTGGGGCCGTCCCAGGGACAACCAGGGGCACAAATGTCAGCCACCCTAACCTTGCAAAGACACAATGTTTGGCACCTGGACAGGGTCTCTCTTGACTTTTTACACATTTGTGATGCCAGTTGGCTGCTGGTGGTCAGTTTCTTTCCAGGAACCAGAGCCCTGGTTTGTGGCTGGCTCTTTGGGATGGACTCGAAGAGTCTTGGCGGTCCTTGGCCTACCTCACCCCCATCAGCGTCAGGAACAGCCGTGGGGGTGTCTGGACACCCAAAGAGGTATTGTGAGCCAGCACCAGGCTTCTGGCAGCTTAGATGGTTTCTTTGAGGGGAGAAGCTCCTAGCTGCTGGAGAGAAATTTCTTCCCTCTTCTCTTCTTCATCCTTCTTGGAAAGACCTCTTTTGACTCTGTTGAAATGAAAAGGCAAATGGAAAAATAAGACAAAAAGGCAGAAAGGAGGTGGCAAGAAGCAGGTGGTGTGTGCACAGCCTTCAAGACCTGGATCTCTACTGTCCGCAAACCCCCAAGGATGGTAGAAGCCACAGCGGCCCTTCCCCTAGTTCTCATGGGGGCCCCTCAGGGAAAGACTGCAAGGTTAAAAGTTTTCCAATGAAGATCTGAGGCCAGACACACACCCAAGGTCTCTCAACTGGTGAATGGGGCACCAGGCTCACTGCACTTGCTGGGGCTGGGCCTGGCTCCCTTGCGGACCAAGGACACCCACAGAGACTGTGGGGGGACGGGGCACTGCCAAGGCCCTTCTCCCTCTGCCCCAGGTAGAGAATCAGTCAGGCAGGAGCAGAGAGGAAAGTCAGGGGCTGGGCCTCCCAAACGGTGTGAGGGCTGCCCCATGGGGCTTTCTGTCCTCTGAACAGGTGCAGTTTTGCCTTTTTCGATTGTATTCCTCTATCATTGAAATAATTTGGGTTGTGGTCCCTTTTATTTTATCCTGGAATTGTGCACCCTGAGAATGGTTTGTTCTACATAATTTTGTTAGTCTTCATTTGTTTCTCGTTTTCATCATTTACACCTCTCGTCAATTTCTCCGGTCTACTTTCGCTGGCTCTTGTTTGAGAACGTTTTCAATGTTCCAGATGTTTTTATCAGAGTTTTCATCCTGGATTGTAACTCTTTTATTTCTAACCTTTTAGTCCAATGGTTTAAGCCATTTTTGGGTATGATGATCTCTTCACATAATCCGAAAGAAACGTCTCTTTCTTCTCACTCTACTGTCCTCCATGTCTGTCTTTTCTGCACTTGAAGTCTTGTAGCCTTTCTGACTCTGTCTCCTGGGTCCGTTCAGCTTATTGGTTTTACCCGTTGTGTGCCTGCGGGGTGGGGGCTGAGGGACAGAAGTCTGTCCCGCCTGCCTCTGTCTCCTCAGCTCCCACCCATGGATTCCCCAACCCTTCCAAAGACAATTCCTAAAAACCCAAAGGCAGACATTCTCCAGATTCAACTGCTCCAATGGTTAGACTGGCTCAACGCCATTTTTAAAATTCATCATATGAGCAAAGATGACCAGAAGGCCTGTTGTGGGACCTGAAATCCATGGTCTTCTTTTTTAAAATTCTGGAATATAATACAATAAGCATTAAAAGTGTACTGGGGTCAGCCATGCAGCTGGTGTTCACCATGCGTGAGATGGTGGCAGGAGGTCCCAGTAGACCAATGGGTTGGGCTTTAGTCATGGTGGAGCATCAGACCTCCTGCTGAAAGGCTGCAACCCATCCCCCACCCCCTCACCTCTCTAAGTCCCCATTACCAGTGGAAGAAACTCCATGGAAGGTCACTAACTGGAGCCTCACAAATTTGCCCAGGCCCTGTGGCCTCTCCTCTGGGTCTTTCCACCATCTTGGCAGGCTTTAAGGAGCATTAACCTCTTTCCAGACCCATCCCTAGCTTCTGGGCCTTGAGAAGGGCTTCCCTGTGCCTGGGAAATGACCTAATTGAATTCTTTTTTTTTAAATTTTTTAATTTTTAAAATATTTTATTTATTTATTTGACAGAGAGAGATACAGCGAGAGAGGGAACACAAGCAGAGGGACTGGGAGAGGGAGAAGCAGGCTCCCCGCCGAGCAGAGAGCCCCATGCGGGGCTCGATCCCAGGACCCTGGGATCATGACCTGAGCCGAAGGCAGACGCTCAATGACTGAGCCACCCAGGTGCCCTGACCTAACTGAATTCTTATAATTGTTTTCATTGTGTGCCTCTCCCCCTTGGTTACCAAAGAAAGCCTGCTCAATATAGACAATTTGGAAATAATTTTCCTATTAAAACATTTTTCAAGTTGTATTTATTTAACTAATCTCTATCCAGTGCAGGACTCAAACTCAGGACCCCAAGATTGAGTCGCATGTTCTTCTGACTGAGCCAGCCAGGCACCCCTGGAGATAATTTTTAAAAATGTAAAGTAGCCAGGGGGTGCCTGGGTGGCTCAGTTGGTTAAGCGGTTGCCTTCGGATCAGGTTGTGATGCCAGGGTGCTGGCATCGAGTCCCACATCGGGCTCCCTGCTCAGCAGACAGCCTGCTTCTCTCTCTCCCTCTGCCTGCCTCTCTGCCTACTTGTGATCTCTCTGTCAGATAAATAAATAAAATCTTAAAAAAAAAAAAGTAAAGTAACCAGGAAAAAAATTGTCACTCATACCTTGAGGCAACAATTGTCACCATTTTAACGTATTTCTTTCTTGCGAGTCTCTATTCCTTTTTTTGAAGTTTATTTTAATTTTAATTATTTATTTATTTATTCATTTATTTACGTTATCTCCACACCCGATGTGGGGCTTGAACTCATGACCTCAAGATCAAGAGGTGCATGTTCCACAAACTAAGCCAGCCAGACGTCTCTTCATTTTTTTTTTTAAGACTTTATTTATTTATTTGACAGATGGAGATCACAAGTAGGCAGAGAGTCTGGCAGAGAGAGGAGGAAGCAGGCTCCCCACGAAGCAGAGAGCCCAATGTGGGGCTCGATCCCAGGACCCTGAGATCATGACCTGAGCCGAAGACAGAGGTTTTAACCCACTGAGCCACCCAGGCACCCTGAGTCTCTTATTTCTTGACATAATTAGGAAACATCATAATTAATTTTAATATTTAAAAATATAGTATAAACATTCCCCGGACCCTTAAAAAGTCTTCATCAGGAGCACCTGGGTGGCTCAGTGGGTAAAGCCTCTGCCTTCAGCTCAGGTCATGATCTCAGGGTCCTGGGATTGAGCCCTGCATCGGGCTCTCTGCTCAGTGGGGAGTCTCCTTCCCCCTCTCTCTCTGCCTGCCTCTCTGCCTGCTTGTGATCTCTGTCAAGTGGATAAATAAAATCTTTAAAAAAAAAGTCTTCTTCAACATAACTTTTTACTACTGCACGGTATATTATAATTGATTGAAATTGTTGGAGAGCTGGAAAGTTTACATTTTTTTCCGGGCATATTAAACATGGTGATGAATATCCTTGTTCAATATCCTTTGTCCACATTTCAGCTGATTTGCTTAGGGCAGAATCCTGCAAATGTTGTTGCTACTTAGAAGTATATGAAAATCTGCCATCTCATGATCAGTAATGCCAAAGAAACTTCCAGAAACTTTCAGGAGTTTCCTCCTTCCTGTCTATACATCTTCCTTGACTACTACTATGTTTTCAACGTTTTCTTTATTGGATATTTAAAAATGACCTCTTTCCCATTTTAATTTACATTTATTTGATTATGACTGACGTGAATAGCTTTCCTCTGTTTATTTTCTATCAGCATTTCCTCTTTTGTGAATGTTCTGTTCTCACAGAAGAGGATTTTTTGAGCAGGGTTAGTCCACTCTTCCTTTGCTGTGTTGCCCCAACAAACTGGGGCATAAGCCCAACTGGGTCACGGAGGCTGACCTGGCCCCACACCAGGCATACAGACCATTCTGGAAAAACAGTATCTGGTCTTGTGATTAATGAACGATGGGAACAATTTACATAGAAATTATTCATTAACAAATGGATTTTTGGCAGCCTGTGAAGTAAAAACAGAGGAAGTTCCCTTACATCTTTTCATAACCCAGGAACCAGTAGTAGAAGGTGTATTACCGCTAATCCCTCTCGTTTGCCGCCATTTTGGAGATGGGTAATGTGAACCTTGAAAAGAGACATTTTCTTCTCATCCTAATCCGTGACACCCCAGGCCTGGGACTAGCATTCACAATTATTTGATGAAATTAGAAATGGAGAAAAAGGAAATGGGCTAAGCAGTTCTTGAATCCTTATATTTCAGATATCGGAAATTCCGCTTGACTGACTCGACAGAGGCTGTTTCTTGCCTCCTGTTCCCCAACATCACCATTTCCTACGAAACCAAAACAAGTTGAGTTGTTTCTGTCTCTTATTTGGTTATGGGGGAATTGTCAAGAAGAACCCTGGACAGGTTATTAAAGAAGAACATGGACCAGAACCCTTGAGAATCATGCAGGAGCATATTAAATGTGTTATCTGATTATAAGCCCCTCAGGGGCTCTAAAAATCCTAACTACGGGTGCCTGGGTGGCTCAGTTGGTTAAGCGACTGCCTTCTGCTCAGGTCAGGATCCCAGAGTCCTGGGATGAAGTCCCGCATTGGGCTCCCAGCTCCATGGGGAGTCTGCTTCTCCTTGTGACCTTCTCCCATCTCAAGCTCTCTCTCTCTCAAATAAATAAATAAGTAAATAAATTAAAATCTTTAAAAAAAAAATCCTAACTGCAAGAGGTCCCATGGCTATTGGAACAGGTAATCATGAAGAACACTCATTCTTCACGGGGGTGATGTTGTCCCCAGGAGGCAAAAACTGGTTCTTGGTGGGGGGAGGAGGGACACAAAAAATCCGAGACATTAAATGGTTTGTGGCCTTCCAAAGGGCCACAGTACGTCAACAGATACACAGTGTATCTGTGGTATTACATTGTTATTGGGAGTGTGGGGATGTGATTAGGGGGAAAGAAATGTATATATAGAAAAGTCCCTGCAGTGGGGAGGGGAGGGGTGATAATGAGAAATGGTTGAGAAACTGTCCCAAAGCAACTGCTCGTCCAGCTCCAACCCAAGAGCAGGTTTTGTTCCCCAAGATGTGAGCCCATTCTATTTGCTAAAAAAGCATCATGCTATTTCCTCCTTAATAAATCACAGGTTTAGGGGTGCCTGGGTGGCTCAGACAGGGAAGCATCTGACTTCAGCTCAGGTCATGATCTCAGGACCTTGGGATTGAGCCTGTCAAGACCCCGTCAGGCTCTGTGTTCAATGGGGAGTCCGCTTTACCCTCTCCCTCTGCCCTTCCTGCTGCTCGTGCTCTCTCTCTTTCTCTCTCAAATAAATAAACACAATCTTAGCCAAAAAATCACTCACAACTTTAGATTTCTTATGCAAAAGTTTATATGAGATGCAAACAGGCTCTGAATGTGGCTAGTCTACCTTTTGGCCTTGTTATACTTGCTATAATCTCAAGGGGGCATCTAGAGGCATGTGAGGTTGGCGGAGTGGGGAGGTCAGGGGGATTGTCCTTTATCTGTTTATGACAATGACAACTTCATCAAGAATATATGAAAAAACTTTTCTTCCCTTCTCTTTCTGAACAATTGGATCTTAAAGCCATCATGTGGGGCAAAGCAAGGTAGGTGTCCACATAGAGGGCTGGCCCAGGATGGGGTTTTGGAGCCCAAGGGGGTATAGAGGGGTCTGTGGAGGAGAGGGATGGGTTACATGCTGGCGGATTGATGAGTTAGGCAACTAGGTTAAGGCTGAGGGAAGGCAGGTTTCTCCTTGTCAGAGAAGGGAGTTAAATATGAAAAGGGACCAAACTGGGATAAACCCGGTGGTGGGTGCTGCTGGATTGGAGTTGGAAGTAATGGTGTGACTCATGGTTTTCAGTACGATCTACAGATATAAAAAAAAGATGTACTGGTCTCTGTATCTATACGTATATTCATATATTCCCTACTTCTGCCCACTGAGAGGGCTTGAGAGCAGGAAAAAACCCATAATGATGAGTCTCTCATACGTGGATCTTGGATTTTTTTTTAAATTAAGATTTATTTGAGAGAGAGAGAGAAGGGTGGGGGAGGAGCAGAGGGAGAGAGAGAATCTCAAACAGACTCTCTGCTGAGCCCAATGGCGGGGGCCCATCTTACAACCCTGAGACCGTGACCTGAGCCAAAAATCAAGAGGCAGACGCTTAACCAACTGAACCACCCAGGCGCCCCAAGGACCTTGGCTTCTAAATACCAGTCTTTCTTAAAATGAACCAAGTCATCAGGGAAAGGGTTGCTGCCATGACAGCTACGGGGAAATGAGCTTAGACTATCCAGAAAACAAGGACATACTGAAAGAATTGTGAAAGAACACAGAAGTCAAAAAGTTGTACCAGCTGGTGGGATACAATGAGCAGGACTCGGGCTCACGCCTGTGATAACAGTGCCAGAGATGTCTAAGCTGCAACTGGTAACATTGGAAAACCCCAAAGCGGGGGGAAATCTACAGAACAACTGGTCTGGCATCTTCAAAAAGGTCAATGTCATGGTGAATTCATAGCTAGTCTGTGGCAGCTCCGTGTTCAACTTCAAAGACACCTGGAGCCAAGACACTGACCATCAACCACAGCAAGGATGAAATGGACTAGCCAGTAACTGATCAGGTGCTGTCAAAGTGGGACTCTCCCTCTGGAGGCCCCCTCTCCCAGCCCGTCTAGTATGGTTTGTTGAAAATTATGAACTTATGGTCTGCAGTTGGTTTACCTGGTTCTACAACCTGATTTTAGCTGTGACCAACGGGATACCGAGAAAACCCCTCAGTAGGTGTATGTGCCTAGGCTTCCCTGAGATTTCGGTATCTCCCTTTCATGCTGACAGCCTGTGACAGAGACCAGAGGGAAGACAGGACCCCCGGGTGGTACACCAGGATGCCCTGGGCCTTCCTGATGGTTGCCTGCATTTTTTTTCCCCTCTTAACTGTTTTGTATCCTTCATCTCCTGAAAGGCCTTTATAAGTGTGCTTTATGGCCTCACGCTTGTCCTTCCTAGTATAAAACCTTGTCTAACTGTTGGAGTCTAGAGAATCCGAGAACACCGGAGGACTTCATCCAGCTCAAACAAAATACAACGTCTAAATGCCTCTTCTGATTCCGAACCACATCCTCTTGCTCTATAGGATGTTGGGGGTGGGGCCAGGGATGGGGGTGGGGAAATCAAGCAGAACTTGATCGAGGCCAGAGGACTAAACGGAAATCATGTATCAATATTAGCTTTCTGACTGGGATGGCTCCACTGAGGTTGTGTAACAGAACATCCTTGTTGGAGAGAATTACACATTAGAGTATTTGGCGGAGGGGTCTCCACAACGTTCTCCCCCAGGGTTCAGACAAAGATGTTATTTTTAAGATTGCCGCAGACCTTGCTCAACACACAGACACAGACGCAAACGCCCTCAAACATACGTTAATTTAAAAAATAAACGATAAAACCATACAAAATCTCGAACAACTCTGCAGCATTTGTGAAGCTTCAGAGAACGCCCTGTTTTTGGATGTTGGTTAGTTTCCCCACGTGGTCAAGGTCTCCACATCCCCTGGGACGACCGGGCTCCTGTAGGACCAGCTAGGTCAGATCCGATCAGCAAATCATTGTGAGAAAGAATGGCTTGCTCCCAACTATTTTATTCTATTTTATTTTAAAGATTTTACTTACTGGGGTGCCTGGGTGGCTCAGTTGGGTTAAGCCACTGCCTCGGCTCAGGTCATGATCCCGGAGTCCCGGAATCGAGTCCCACATCGGGCTCCTAGCTCTGAGGGGAGTCTGCTTCTTCCTCTGACCTTCTCCCCTCTCTTGCTCTCTCTCTCTCTCAAGTAAATAAATAAAATCTTTTAAAAAAATAAAGATTTTACTTACTTATTTGACACAGAGAGAGAACACAGGGGGAGCAGCAGGCAGAGGGAGAAGCAGACTCCCAGCTGAGCAGGGAGCCTAGAGCCCAACTTGGGACTCGATCCCAGGACCCCAGGGTTAATGACCTCACCTGAAGGCAGATGCTTCACCAACTGAGCCACCCAGGTGCCCCTCAACAATTTAAAAAAATAAAATTATTTTTAGGGGCGCCTGGGTGGCTCAGTCCTTTTAAGCATCAGATTCTTGATTTCGGCTCAGGTCGTGATCTCAAGGTTGTGGGATCGAGCCCCATGTCTGGCTCCGTGCTCGGCATGGAGTCTGCTTGAGATTCTCTCTCTCCCTCCCTCTCCCCCTGCACTCTCTCTCTCAATAAATTAAATTAAATTAGTTTTAGTAAATGGTCTCCATCATGTAATTGGTTCACATCTGTAACAACATACAGTAGCTTTATAATAAATGTTCCTGGTAGGATCAAAGGGAGCTCTGTTACCCAAAACTCGAATTCTTTGGCATTACTGAGATTTTTCTAGAGCTAGGATTTCAATCCACCTCGCAGGTCCCTGGGGCAACGGCTCCGGCTGCCAGATCAAGCTGGACCCCGAAGCTACAGCCTCGGGCCCTGTTCCCTTCCCCCGTCCCATTCCCCACAGCCAAGGGTCTTCGGTGACCCCACTGTTGCTGGGAAACGCACCAAGTCCACCGCATTTTCAGAAAGATCCTCAAGGACAACACCTTACTCAGTGACCGCCCTGAGGAGATCCATGAGAGAAATTTCTTCCAGTGTTAATTGTTGAGGAAAGTTTCGCTTTCCCCAGAGAACTGGTAGCGCTTTTCCTCTCTGACAATATGACAAAAGTCATTAAGCGGGGGGGTCTCCCTTTCTGTTGTTCTGGGACAATCTGGAAGGCCACCCCGGGCAGCCACACAGGCCTGTCTTTGCTTCTGAATGTGGCACCTCTCCTCCCTACAAACTGTCATCCCCATGTCTCTGCCAGGCTTGACCTCAACTCATTTCCCTGTTTTGCCTGGTCTCCAATTTATTCTTCGTTCTGTGTCACCATTCACGGTTGGGTCTGTCCTTGATGAAATCCAAGCCTCTTAGACAAAGGTGGGTGGGCGAGGCTGGTCTTCCCAGCGTGGCTCCCACCTACCCACCATGACATTGGTACAGCAGCGGGAGGACCCTCATGGCCCCAGGTCATTTCACAGGAACCTGCAGCCTGTTTGGTCATCCCCACCCCCTCCCCACCATGCCCAGAGGCTCCTTACCTCCTCTCCATGGCCTCGATGGTCTCCAGCAGGGGCGCGTTGCGGGTCTCAGCCAAGAAGCAGACAGCCAGCCCAGCCAGGATCGAAGTGGCCCCAAAGCCCATGGGGGGCAGGATGGCACTGAACTCCCCAAGCGTGGTGATTAGGGGTGCAACCAGACCCCCAAAGCGGGCACTGACTGAGGCAAAGCCCATCCCCATCTGCCTAAAAAGTGCAGACTGGTCAGTGGCTGTGGCCCAGACTGCCTAGAGGGTCGGGCCCCAGGTGTCAGGGGGCAGATGGAAAGGAGGAGGGGTCCTACTTCAGCAAACTCAGCAGGTGCTGAGGCCTGGGGCTCCGGGGTCTCCCAGCTTGGGGCAGGTGCTGCTCTGCTCCCCTCACCCCATGGACCCACCTGATCTCTGTGGGGTACAGCTCTCCAGTGAACAGGTACAAACAGATGAACGAGCTGGCCAGGCAGCCTTTGCCTAGTGCTGCCTGGGCTGTGCGCAGGGTCTGCGTATCTGCAGAAAGGTGGACAGAGCTGGGGGTTAGGGGGAGCTCAGAGCCCCAAAGGCGTCAGGGAGGCAGAGGGGTAGCAGTGGGAGCAGGGGTGCTCGGGAGGGGATGGGATATGGGGAAGAGGCTGAGGCTGAGGCTCAGAGCCCCAAAAGGGAGGAGGGAGGCCAAGCAGCAGGCGTCAGGGATTGGAATCCGCACCACCTCATGTTGCCCCGGAGACCCCGGAATGCCCCACCCTGCCCTTCTCTCACTTCTGCCTCCTTTTCCCCTTTCCGAGGCAAGACAAACTTTGGAGTGAGGCCTGGGTTCAAACCCCAGCTCTGACCCAGCTGGGTGACCTTGGTCACTTGCATTTAACCTCTCTGGTGTCCTCAACCATAGAACGAGGAAAATACCAGCACCTGCTTCGCCGGGTTGTCATACGTTTCCATGACGTCAGGAGTGCAAAGGGCTCAGCGCTCACTCAGTGTTTGCTCTTACCATTATTAACTTGTCCTGCTATTGGTTATGAACAGTAAAACCCCCACGGCCCGCCCAACCTCCAAGCAACGTTCAAGGAAATTATGGTACGTCCTCCGGCTGCACACTGGGTCCAGGAGGGGAGACTTAAAAGATACCCACACCTGGGCCCTACCCCCTCTCCATGACATTAAAGCCTCTTGGGGAGATCCTCAAGTTTGGGTATTTCTTTCAAGGTCCCTCGGAGATTCTACCGATCTGGATGAATTGTCATAAGTAATACAACACTGGGGGCATGGGACATTTGTATGAACAGGAACAAGCATCTCGGGGCGCCTGGGTGGCACAGGCCATTAAACATCCAACTCTCGGTCTCAACTCAGGTGTTGACCTCAGGGTCATGAGTTCAAGTCCCACGCTGGACTCCACACTGGGCATGGAGTCTACTTAAAAAAAATAATAATAAATAGGGGATTCTGGGTGGCTCGGGTGAGCGACTGACTTCAGCTCAGGTCATGATCTCGGGGTCCTGGGGTCAACCCTCCCTCTCTGCTCCTCCCACCATGTTCTGGCACTCTCTCTAAACTGAATGAAAAAAAGCTTTAAAAATAATAATAACAATAAATAAATAAAATGAAAAAGCACATTTATGTAATATAGTGAAATAGGATATATTATATATATAAATAAGATATACACATATGTAAATATAATCATATGTATACACACATATAATATTATCTCAATTATGTCAAATACAAAATCTACAAAAAGAAGAAAAGATTGGAAGAAAATATGTCAAAATACCAATAGTAGTAATGTACCATTCCACTGGGAAATAATAAGACACTGAGAAATCAGACAAGTTGCCCAAGGCCATGAGCCCTTGGCTTCCCACAAGCTCTAGGACTCTTGACACTCAACCCCGGCTTCTTGTTGGAATCACTGGACTGTTTATTAGGTACCTACAGTTGGGTCCCATTCCTTGACACTGGAACCACTGGGCACTGGGAATTTCAAAGGTCATCAACCTGATCTCCCTGACAAGATGGTAAATGCCTTGGGGGCAAAGACTCGTGTCTCTGCCAATTCTCCACCATGACCCTGATACTGAGTCCTGAGTGCTTAGTAAAAACTCTGCTAATAGATAGTCACTTCCTTTCCAGATCCTGAAGAACATCCCTCAGTCCTGTTCCCTTGTTGTAGTCAAGGCCCACCAGACCCCAGAGACTCCCGGGCGGTCACAGCAAGAGCAGATGGCTCACCTTCAGGCACAAACATGTTCACGATCACCATGAGCCCAGCCAGGATGAGGAAGGAGGCCACGGTGGCCCGGCGGCCCACATAAATCATGGTGGTGGTGGCCACCAGCATGGCCGGGATGTCTATGACCCCAAACAGGACCTGCACCAGGTATACACTGAGTCCAAACTTCTGCAAGTCCATGGCCAGCCCGTAGTAAGCCATGGAGTTGGAGAACCTGGAAGAGGCAGCAGAATGGTCCTGCTTCAGCCCAAGGTCCACAGTTCTGGACCCAGGGGATGGCACACAGGATGAATGACATAGGACTCCATTTTCAGGGAGTGAAAATCCCCTGAATTTAACATACCCCTCCCCTTCCCCTCACCAAATCCAAGTCTCTGACTTGGGTTTTAGAGCCCAGGCTACCCTCCCTCCATGTCCCTGCTTAAGCACCTGCTCCAGCACCTGCTCCCCGAGTCCAAGTGTGGGCTCCAGAGTGTGAGTGTTTTTCCCTATCTGCACTGCTCCAGCCCCTCCTCCTCCCTTCAGTGGCTGATCTGAGCTTCACATCTAAGAGCTGGAAGGAGAAAACGAGAGCCTTCCAACCAGGCAAAGACCCCGTCGGACCCTCACAGCTTCTCCCGACGTTTACTGAGAAGTCTGCACCTGTAGATGGCTGCTTCTGCCAAGGCAGTGTTTACAGTCAATCTGACGGCAAAGGTCTGGAATTCCCACACTTCTGGGGGAGGGGGGGGCTCTAGAGAAATTTAAAATGTCCCTGTGGCAGTGTCTCAAAGAGGTATTTGTACATCCATGTTCATAGCAGCATTGTTCACAAGAGCGGAAAGGTGGAAGCAAGCCCAAGTGTCCATCAACTGATGGGTAGATAAACAGCACGTGGGGAATGCGGGCAATTACTCAGCCTTCGGAAGCAGGAAGCAGGCGCTAAACTGCACGGTGATCAACCATCGCGATGCCAAACTTCGTTACGTGTCATTGAGCCTACTTAACAATAAAAGCACGGGACAGGCCCTCATGCACCTGGTGGGTCGGCCTGGCTACGTTTCCCTGCAACACCTCATGCCGACACAAGCTCTGGGACATCTGGGGGCAGGGGGAGGTGGAAAAATGGAATTTGGCAGGGGGCCCTCTGCAAGCAGGGCCCCGGCCTCTGCCCCCTTAGTGCTTACTGAGAAATGCCTCCCATCCTCCCACCTACCCCCAGCTACGTGAGTCGGGGAGATGGAGAAGAAAAGACCCTTCTAGAAAGCTGATACAGTAATTCTTGTTGACTCTAGGCAGGTCTGGGTTCATGTAACATGCAACGATATTTACAGATATGGTTGCGTTATTAGGAGCAAGTAGAAGATATGTGTGGTACTGACCCATTTTTGTAAGAATACATGTGGCGTCTTCTGTGTACAAAGGTCTGGAAGAATATGGACTCGTGCTTGGCAGGGCTTGCTGCTTGGGGGCGGGGCAAGCAGAGTGGGAGGAGGAGCATTCAATTTTCTTCCGTACAGTGATAACAGGTACAAGTCTTGAGTTTACCAAGATACTGTTCTATACGTGAATGCTTCTAATCTCCACAACCACCCTATGTGGTAGGTACTATTATGATATCAGTGTTACAGGTGGGGAAACTGAGGCACAGAGAGGTTAAGGAACTCGGCCAAGATGACACAGACAGAGCTGTGGCAGATAAGTGGCAGAGCTGAGATTCAAATCCAAGCAGTCGGGTTCCAGAGTCCTGCCTTTTGTTTTGTCTTGTTTTTAATTTTTATTTTGTTTTTAATTTTTTAAAGATTTTATTTATTTATTTGACAGAGAGAGACAGAGAGCACAAGTAGGCAGAGCGGCAGGCAGAGGGAGGGGGAGAAGCAGACTCTCTGCTGAGCAGGGAGCCCGACGCAGGGCTCAATCCCAGGACCTTGGGCTGATGACCTGAGGCGAAGGCAGAGGCTCAACCCACTGAGCCACCCAGGCGCCCCTGTTTTGTCTTGTTTTTTAAATTGAACTACACTTGAGTCCTGCCTCACAACCAATACATGACCCTGTCTCTATGTTTCTGGGTTGTTTGAAAAAACAAATTTTTTCCCAATGAGTATGCAGTGGTTTTATAATTTAGGAATCAAAAAACAACCAACCAGTAGAGAAAAAGAAATCCACGTTACGGGAGGCATTTACAACAGGAGCTTGTGAAAGCCTACCAGTTCCCCAAAATTCTTCTTCCTCCTCCCAAATCTCCCCACCTGCCTGCAGAAACTCCATCCGGCTGACCCAGCCCCTAGCTGCCGAATTCCTTCCTTCAAACAGAAACGGGCCTTAGCTTATTCTCTCCAGAAGGATCCAAGAGGGGACTTTCAACCCTGGAATTTTTCATTCATGATGATTCTTCCCGGTGGGAGGAGGAGAGCGAAGCAGGGGGCGGGTCCCAACTTGGGTTCTGAGGAGCCCTCTGGCTGCCCAGGCAGAAGCCCTCCAAAGGTCCAGAGTGGTGGACAATCCCGTTTCCAGCGCATAGGTGACACAGCTCCAAACTTAAATCAGAGACGCTACCTGAGCACTTAACTCGGCCAGGTGTGGGGGTTACATGTCTAAACATTTAGTTTTCAAAAGGACCTTAGTGGTAGGCATCTAAGCCGGAAACTGTGGCACCAGGAGGCTGGCTGCCTTGCTCAAGGTCACCCAGGTCATCTGGTCATCTACCACAGCCTGGCCGGTAACCACAGAACAAGAATGCTGGTTGTCCTCCTGAGAACAGATGACTTGTAGCCTGTGTTCCCTACTTCGCAAATATCAACCCTTACTATTTACATACCTAGGACATCCTGGTCCTTAAAACGCCCTCTACCCCCTTTCTAAATCCATTCCTCATCTTAGGATTTGCCAGCTCCAGTCTGTGCTAATGGGAACAAGTTGCCCTTGTAGTTTGATCTGTTTTACACTTCCTGTTTATCTAGATGGCCTCTCTGAGTCCTTCCTGGTCCCCTGGCAAACTCCACAGCCGTTTTTGTAAAACCCACTTAGATGCCATCTCCTGCATGATGTACTCGGCAGCTCCAGTCAGGAGAACTGCTGTAAGGACACCTGTCATACCTCATAGACATTATTGTCTCCCTGTCTGTCCCTTTCTGACCCACAGGTGTTTCTCCAGAGTTGGACACTTCCCAAAATCTCCTGGAGAGCCCCAAGGGCCTATCAGGAGGGGACAAAGTGCATTTTGGAAAAGCTGCATGGGTGATTCCAATGGGCGCCCCCACCCCCACCAAGGTGAGACCCACTGTCCAGATGTGGGATCCCCAGGTCAGCACAAATGTCTCATCTATGACCGCATCTTAGTGCTGAGCAGAGGGCGAGAGTACCGTAGAGAAAGGGTAGGGAACAAGATCGAATTCACGAGGCTCACCTGCTCATTGCATTAAGAGTATTTGAGAACAGAGTTTGGAAGTGGGGATAAGAGGCTTAGCCCTGCCTCAGGTCAAAGACGTGGGCTCAAGCACATCACCTACCAGACCACCATGAGACAGCAAGTGACCTTCCGGATGGCCGGGGTTCGAAAGAGGTCTAAGACCGAGTTGGAGGTGCGCACACTTGCGATCTCACTCTGGAGGTGGGAGTTCACCACCTGGACAAGGTAAGTTTGATCAGCAAAAGGAAAAGATCTGGGACCCTGTTTTCCTGCGAGGAGTCCCTTCATCTGGGGAGAGGAAGGTCAAGGCTTCGGTCCCCGGCAAGATGGCTGGTTCTAGTCTTTGCATCCTGGGACTGATGGCTCTCAACAGATTGTTTCCAGAGCTTCGGGATGAAGCAGAGGCTCCAGGGTGAGTCCCAGGGCTCCTGAGCTGCCTGCTGATTAGGCTGAAATCGCCACCTGTGGTTCTCGAGGGACCCTTTTCCCTCACTCCCAGTAGAGACTCTGAGATAGGCCTGGGCCGTGGTTAGGGGCCGGGGTTCTAAGCAGTTCTGCCGTTTCCCACTGTGTGTTCTTAGGCAAATGACGCGGCCCATTCAAACTTGGCCTCCTCAGCCACAAAAGTGACACATTAAATGAGATTATGGACATAAAGCCCTCAGCAGAGTGACTAGCACGGGGCTCGAGAAAACCTACTTACTCATAATAAATGGTGATGATCTTACAAGTGGTAATTCTCTGATGCTGGTGTTTATCGTAAAGGGTACCTTTATTATTGATTCTTTGATAATTTCCTTTTATGGCTTCTACTTCAATATTTTCACTTTATTATTTTATTAAATTTCGGCAATTCCATGGGAATGGGGTTATTTCCCCATGGCAGAGATGGATGGACCGATGAACAAAGCAGTTAAATGATTTCTCGCAGACTGCCCAGCCCTTCGATGGTTATGCCTTCTAGCTTCCCCAGAAGTCTCTCTCTCCTCAGTCCCAGCCTCTCCACCTGGATGGTGGGCGCGTCCCGGCAAGCTACTGAGTCTTGGCACATCTTGAGGCCACCAGCCAGATTAGAAACGGTCCCTCCCCTTTCTTCCAGCCACGCCACCTACCTCTTTGGTCAGCCTCTCCCCTTCCTGTGTTCTCCCATTCATGACGGCCACCTTCCGCAGGTTCTCCACGGCTAACTGCGACCTGCCGTGCAGCAGGAGCCAGCGGGATGACTCTGGCAGCCACCTGGGGCCAAGAGAAGGATGAAGGACGGCAGGGGTGAGTAGAGCTCCTTCCATTCTCCAAACGCAAATACACCTTCGTTTCCTTCCCAGCCGCCTCCAGACTCGGGAAGACTGGGGGGGACACACCAGCTTCCCTTTCCCAAAGCACAGCGGACAGGGACCCACTGAAAAGCACTTAAAAACAGTCACAGATTCAGTTTTGAATCTGGTTCTGACCCTGCCGTGTGTCTTGAATAAGTCATGGCCCTCTCTGGGCTGTGTCTCAGTTCCCCTCCTGTTGTGAGTTGCAAAGGAACTGACGAGCAAAGCAAAACCACTCGAGCATTCTGGAGCCCTACATCAATGGAAGGGATTTTATCAGAGCTTCCTGACAGCCGTGGGCAATGCCCGTGAGCCCGTGGTCCCCACAAACATCCACCCCCTTTCAAGTCCCCACCACACCCGGCAAGTCCCAGTCACTACACAGTCCCAGATTGTCACGAGGGGGGGCTCCGTCACACAGGTGCACCCTCCCACCCCCCTCCTTGTCGGGACGTACCAAGAATAGAGGAAGAAGATGAGGAATGGAACAGAGACAGCAAACTGCAGCCACCGCCAGGGGCGGATCAGGTATGCCACTCCAGCCAGGATGAGCTGACCCAGGGTAAAGGAGTACCCCAGCAAGACACCCGCCACGGTCCGGCCCCGGGTGGGTATCCACTCCACGACTGCAGAGGGAATCAGGGCAGGATCAGTAGCACCCACAGCCCCCAAGGTTGTCTAATGCACCTGTGCCCTCATAGCGACTCTGTGGCCACTTGAAATTTTTCCAGAGCTCTACTGAGACACAGGTGCACCAAAGAACTAAATATAACCAGTAAGGGACACCTGGGTGGCTCAGTCGGTTAAGCATCTGCTTTCAGCTCGGGTGGTGATCCCAGCGTCCTGGGATGGAGCCCTGCATCTGCTCCTTGCTCAGCGGGGAGCCTGCTTCTGCCTCTGCCTGCTGTTCCCTTTTCTTGTGTTCTCTCTCTCTGACAAATAAATTTTTAAAAAATCTTTTTAAAAAATGAAAAAATACATATAACCAATTAAACCACAAGAATGTTAGAAAAAATCATGGCAATTTTTTTTTCAATCTTAGAGTCAGGAAAATCTTTTCTAAGAATGCCAGAAAACCCAGAAAAAAACCAGAAGCAATGAAAGGGAAGATCAACAAACTTGACTTTATAAAAATAAGAGTGTCTGCATATAAAAACAAACACCTTGACTGGCTTTAACAAAAACAAACAAGCACCATAAATCAAGTCATAATGTCAGCAAAAACATGTAAACAAAAAATTTGCAACTCAAATTATAGATAAAAGGTAAATTTCCTTAATATGGGAAGGGCTCTTACATATCGATAGGAAAACCACCAAAAGGCAAAAAAAGAAAAGAAAAAAACCAAAAAACAAAAAAAGAAAAAGCCCACAAAAAAACAGGCAAAAGATATAAATGTTTGGTAGGAAAGGAAATATTATGACTCTTAATTATATGATTTTTTTGTAAATAGCAGAACTTGGAAACAACCTAGCTGTCCATGCATGGGGCACTGGTTAAGAAATCACACATGCCCTTACAAGGCAACTGTAGCACATTAATGAGGACACTTCCCCTTCCCAGGAGCAGCCAGCTCCTGCATCCTTTCCGGTCCATCACCAAAGCCTGTTGCTTCTACCAACAGAATCCCGTTGAGCCCTTCCTGCTAGCACCCTCCTGGGGGAGTAGCTAGCCACTCCCCCAACACCCCAACCCCACCCCACCCCACCCCTGCAGCCAAGCCACTCTGCTGCTGGCTGGCGGGGAGGCATGAGGCTTGGAACTGGCCTCCGTGGTGGCAAGCACTCAGTCAGATCCGGTCAGGCCTCTCCTCGGCTTGGGATCCTCCAGGGGCTCTTGCCTTTCAGAGTCAAAGCCAAAGTCTGTAAGTGGTCACAGGCCCTAAGGACCTGCACCCCCAGCTCTCTGACCTCATCTGTCACCACTCCACTCCCTGCTTCGCACCCTCTCGCCACAAGAACCGCCTCCTCCTCAGGATGCCTGGGTGGCTCAGTTAGTTAAGTGCCTGCCTTCAGCTCAGGTCATGATCCGGGTGTCCTGGGATCGAGTCCCAAATCTGGCTCCTTCTCTCAGCGAGGAGCCTGCTTCTCCCTCCACCTGCTGGTCCCCTGTTTATGCTCGCTCTCTCTCTGACAAATAAATAAATAAATTCTTAAAAAAAAAAAAAAAAGAACCCCCTCACCTTGAGCTCACACTAGAAACACACAACCCTCAGGGCCTTTGCCTGGAATGTTCCTCTCCCAGATAGCCGCGGGGCACACTCCCTCCCTCCTGCAAGCTCTGCCCAGTGACCCCTCTCAGTGAGGACTTCCCCTGGCCGCTCTACCATCCCCCCAGCTCCCTGCTCGCTCATTCCCTTTCTGGGCTTTAGTTTCCTCTGCAGCATGTGTGCCCTTCGCACATACTGTATAAGCCGCTTGTTCGTGTGGCTGTCTCTCTTCCTGCACAAAACAGAGGCTCCGTGGGACCAGAAATCTGCTTTGTACCTTGTTCCATCTCTGGTGCTCAGAACCGCATCTGGTATGTATGTAGTGGTAGTACAAGGTGTGTGTGTGTGTGTGTGTGTGTGTGTGTGTGTGCGTGCATGCGCAGGGATATGTGTATATGGGTGTGTGCACAGGTAGGAGAGTCTGTGTGTTTGTAGGGGGTGTGTCTCACAGACGCAATTCTAGCACGACACGGACCGTGCATGTCTGATCCCACCTTCCGATCCCACCAGCTGTGGCTGGATGCCCGCCCTGGAGGCTGAGGCGAGTGGGCTGGGATTTGTCAGGATCACGCGTGAGATCAACAACCCTCAGGGTCCTGATTCAGAGAGGGGGACGTCAGGTGTGCGAGCCTGGCGCGGCCTGGTTCTCCAGCCCTAAGATTTCCCCCCATCCCTGAGATGAAGGACCCATCCCGTCTTCGGAAGCAGCGTCTGGATCCCTCAGACCCTCCCTGGGCCTGGTAGTGTCCCAGGTGCCAACTAAGCCCTTCGCACAAGTCGGTGGCCGGCCTGTGTGCACCATGGGCTTTCTACTGCCTGACGGCGCTCCGTGCCGGAGCGACCAACAGCTGCGGGAAACCAGCCTGGAGTGAGGACTGACCCTGTCACTTTGGGTGTGGGGGACATTCCCATCTGGCTCCCAAGGGGCCAGGTCTCCACCATGGGGCTAAGGAGCCTGGGTGAGCCCTGCCCTTTTTGGAGCCACAGCATCTTAGGACAGCCTGGAGCCTTGGGGACCACTGCGTCTCAGCTCCCTTGTTGACCCCACACTGAGCCTGGCATACAGTAGGTGCTTACTAAGTGGTTCCTGGGGACTAGAGCACACAGGAAACAACCCAAGCCTCTCAGCATATGGAGGAACACATTGCTCCCAGGGTCCGCGGCTCACGGCCAGTGGGGAGAGCCCAGATCGCCCCAGGGCGGGCGGGGGGCGAGTGTTTCTGAGTGGAAGTCACTGGACGTGCATCCCAACACAACAGAAAAGACATCCACGGATCAGGCGCGACCCCCACTTCCGCAAGCCGGCCGCCCCGCCAGGGCCCTCCTTGGCTGGACTCACCCAGAGAGAGGGAGTTGAGGATGATTCCAGAGAAGGTCATGCCCATCAGGAACCGGAAGACGCAGTAGGCACCGAAGGAGCCGAAGTAGGCGGTGGCGGCCCCGGAAACTGCCAGCTGCAGGTACGACCAGACCAGGGGGCCCTTGCGGCCCAGCCTGAGCCGGGCGCCGGGCTGGGGTTAGCTTCCGGGGACAGCAGCCGCATCCCTCGTGGGGGCTGCAGGGGGAGGGAGAGAGGAAGCGGCTCCCCCAGGCCAGTCCCTCCAACAGAGTCAGGGGCACCTGCTGGGACGCAGGCGCTCGTGGCCGGCCGAGGGTCAGGGAGGGAAAACCGGACACGAAGACTTGTCTTTTGTCTTTTGTTCCTTCAATCAAGGAGTGTATCTGCCCCTCCCCCAACCCAGCTCTTAATCTTTGGGGCTTGTGGTCAGAAGGTCCCCTGAGTGAGCTCCCGGCTGGACGGAGGCCTCACACCAGGACTCAGGGGCCAGTGGGAGCAGGACCCCAGCGTCGAGTCCTCATTTGAGCTGGTCATGCTGGGGAGGTCCAGGTCGGGCGGGGGCTTGTCACAGCACAAATGGGTCGAAGGTCAGGGTTCAGGATAGCAGGGTTATCCTGGTCCGGCCTTGGCCCTGCCCCATGTGTGAGTGAGGGTCCGGGGCCAGAGCCCTGGCGCGGCTGGGAGGGCAGCAGGCCTGGAAGGGGGCTGCACGCTGCTCACCCCCTGACCCATTCGCTCGTTCACGCGTTCATTCTCTGACGCAAACATGCCTCAATCACCTCTAGGTAACTAACCGTCCTGCACTGGAGGCTGGTGACAAACACGACACCGTGGGTAAGAGACAAGCTCGTCCACAGGAAGGGCGGGCTGTGCCGTGACCTAGTACGGCCACGGTCATGGCGGAGCTGCCCACGAGGGGCCTAAAGCACGCAGGCTGGGGGGAGGAGCAGTCTGCCTTCCAGGGTGCGGAGCGGCAGTGGGGGGGTGGGGGGTGGGTAGGGGAACCCCTGGAACTCACGAGGAGAGGAGAGGGGGAGGGGTGGATGAGCTGGAAGGCGGAGGAAAGAGGACAGGAGGTGCAGAACAGACTCCATTAGAGCCGGGTTGGATTTCCTGGGGTCCCTCTAGAAGGGCTGCCGGCTACCCTCAGGGGCCATTCTGCTTAGTTCTGGTCATCCATACCATAGAATTTCAGCAGGGACAGTAGGGAGGACCAGAAAGTTCTTTCTAAAGGACCATGCAGAGGCCTCGAGGGGAAGTAAAAGCCAGATCCAGAAGCACCCGTGGGGTGCTCCAGCATTGGCATGACAAAGGTGGGACAGAGCATAGGTACCTGGTGGCATGGATGACATAAAATCATAAAATATTGGGGCGTCTGGGTGGCTCAGTCATTAAGCGCCTGCCTTCGGCTCAGGTCATGATCCTGGGGTCCCCGGATGGAGCCCCACATGGGGCTCCCTGCTTGGCGGGAAGCCTGCTTCTCCTCTCCTGCTTCCCCTACTTGGGTTCCCTCTCTCTGTGTCAATTAAATAAATAAAAACTTTTAAAGAATCATAAACTATATCTGGAAAGAGACACAGAAACCCGGCTGCCCTCTAGAAATCAGTGGACGGTGGGACAGCAGCGGGAAGGAACGCTTCCCTGCACTCTCCCACACCTTCTAGAACGGTGAACCATGCAAATGCGTCCTCTCTCTACCCATCAGCGTCAACAAAGGAAAATGAATGAAGAGGCTCAGGTGGCTGGGACCCTCCCCGCCAAGGCTCACCTGTCCGCGAGGATGCCAAATACGGCGGCGCCCACCAGCACCCCGGCCATGTAGATGGACTGAGCTAGGTCGCGGAGGGGGCGGGCCTCACACACCAGATCCCACTGCAGGGGAGAGAGGGAGAGGGGCGCTCCAGCCTCGGCCTCGGGCAGCAGCCCCTGACCCGTCCACCGCGCTGGCTCCCCCGCGGACCTCGGTCACGATGGTGGCTGGGAATGTGCTGAGGTCATAGACCCAGCCGTCCTTGCAGCCCTCCGTGGCTGCCCCGTGGACAGAGGTGTTGGGGCTCAGGAGGGCCCACTGAGGCTCTGTGAAGCGCCGGCATGGTTCGGGGGCCCCGAGCTGGTCCAGGGGTACGGTGGCCCTCAGCCAGGCCCCCGAGTGGTTGGTGGCGGCCATGGTGTCGTTGGCAGAGCCCCGGCAGTGGTGGCCGGGCACAGCGGCCGTAAAATTCTGCAGGAAGTTGTGACACGCCAGCAGGCTGCAGGGCAGGAGCAGCAGGGCAGTATAGACCAGCTGGAACCGCCCCACACCACCCAGGCTGTCCAGCAGGTCGGTGAAGGCCATGGCCACGGGCTATGGCCCAGCCTGCTGCGGCCTTATGTAAAGGACGGGCCCCCTGGGAGGTGGAGGAATAGGTCCGGGGTCAGGACCATATGCCCTGCGCCTGGCAGGTCAGAGGGGTCCGGTTACACCTCATGGGAGGCCCCAGGCCTGCAGGGCTCCCCCTCCCTCCAGGGCCTTGGTCCTCACTTCTCTCCATCTCCGCTCCCAGCTAGAAAACCAGGGGTCCCAGAGCGCTGCCTTGCAGCCCACCACCGCCGGGATCCACAGGCCTAGCCGCCCGGCCCCTGCCGGCCCCGCCGCGGGACCCCAGCAGTCACTGCTGCCCATCACCACCCTCCCCTCTCTCCTGGGGAGAGAGGCACCGAGAGGCACCCTCCAGAGCCCGATCCAGACAGTGTAGGGGACCCAGTCCCTGGGCCCCAGCGCCCAAGAAGAGGCTGCAGAGGATAAACAGGGGCGGGGCAGGATGGGAATGCTGGGGCAGGGGCGCTAAGAGGCAGCCCGGGTCTCCCTGCCTCTGTTGCAGGAACTCAGCCTCAGAGTGGGGTGTGTGGGCGGGTAAGGCCACCAGACCATCCAGACCATTACCTCAACCCGCTCTCAAACAAAACCCCAACACAGAGAACTATGAGGGGTGGGGGGGCATGAGACTGTCCTCCCAACCCCACACCTGGCCCCCTCACCAGCCCAGACTCCCAGCAAGTGACAGGCACCCCCGCCCCCTGCTACTGACAGGACGCCAAGGCCCAGGACCAGCTCTAAGACTCCTGGGGGCCAAATGCCGGCTTGGGACAGGGGTCCAGGCCTTGAACCAGCCTATGGCAAGCAGTGCCCAGAACGTCTGCCACTCGGGGCTCTATCTGGGCCTCCCCCAGCTGCTGAGGGCAGCCCCCATCCCCACCCCAGGCTCCGTCAGCCTCTGCACTGCAGACGACGTCCTCGTTTGTGGCTTACCCCCATCCCCCCCACACCACTGTCCTCTCTTCTACCCTCACCGCAAGCCACTCTTATCTCTGGTAAGGAAAGCTGCGACCCAGAGGGGCTGAGCAGCTTACATAAGCTGCAGGTGTCCGGATGAAGGAGGCCCTTCTGTTCTGGAAGCTTCCTGGGGGGTCAGGTTTGTGCTCAGTGGGAGTTCGGGTTGCAGCCGGAAACTTCCAGGCGGAGCATACATGGAGGGTAGGGGTCAGGCCTCTGGGGCTTTGAGGAGGGCGAAGGGGACTAGCACAGGTGGTCAAGGGGACCTCCCCAGTATGGTCTTGCCCCTGCAGCTGGGAGCCCCATCCTCCCCAGCTTCCTAGGTACCTGGGACTCCAGCAGGGGTGAGAGGCCCCAGGAGGAGCCGCAGCGCAGGGGCGGTGGGAGGCCCCGGGCTGTCCCTCCAGCTCCAGGCTTGCTGGTGCCTTCCTGGGCAGCAGCTTGGGGCAGAAATACACTCTGGACACAGGCGTGGGGCCTTTTCCTTTATTGTTTGGGGTTTCTCGGCATGGAAATGTGAGATTCCCACCCCACCCCATACCCAGGTGCCTCTGGCACCCCCATTACTGGTACACCAGTCCCTGAAGAGTCCCCGTTAAAGTCACCAATATAAAAAAGGAAGGAGCGGGGGAGGGAGCACCCGACTACCCCTCAGGCTCGGCGACTCCTGGCTCCCCAGGCAGGGCAGGCCAAGTTGGCGAGGGACACGGGCTTCTGCGCAGGAAGGAGCGGGCCTTCCCAGGCCCAGGAGGAGGCCTCGGCTGGGAAGGGCCTGCACAGCTGGGCTGTAACTGTGCAGAGCTAGTGGTTCTGTCTGAAGGTCTGCAGGTGACACTGGGTGGTGGGGGTGGGGGGTGGCCTCTGGAGTGAGGGGAGAGCACACATCGTCGGAGGCCTGGGGCTGTCGGCTCCCCCTGGGCCCCCATCCTGAGGCAGGGACAAGCGAAAGCTGCCTTCCTTGTTTGGCGACGGGAGGGGCGGACGAGTGCCCCCTGAGCCCACAGCGGGCAAAGGCAGGAAAGGCCACACGGCTCTGCGCAGAGCAGATGAGCCACGGCAGCTGGGACGTGAAGGACAGGAGGACGAGGCTGCCTCCCGCTCCGAAGGAAGGCACTTGCAGCTGGTGTGGCCTGCTGTGGCATGGCGGGAAGGCATGGCTTGGCAGACGAGGGAGAGGAACACGGCAAGGGGGCCTGAGCCCCTGCCTCATGCAAACATGGTCAGCTGTAACCACTGCCGGGGGTGGGGGGTGGGGAGACGGGTCAGGCGGGGACAGCAGAGACGCCAAGTCCAGCCTCCCACCCCAGAAGTTACTGTCGCTTCACCCACTGAGGGCAGGTGGGAGGGGACCCTCTGGGGAAAGGAGAGCCGCAGAGACCCCAAGGAGCCTCGCCCTCCCTTCCTGCTCCCTTCCCAGGACTCAGACGACCCCACCCCATCCTTCAAGGACTCAGGAGGCCTGGCCTTTGGGGCTGGGTCTGAAACCCTAGGATGCTACCCCAGGCAGGTAAGAAAGTTCCCCCAACCCTAAACGCCCTCCCCTGCCACAGCCTAGGGCAGTGCCCACCTTAAACAGATCAAAGGTCACGACTCCATCCAGATCCGTGTCCAGAGTTTTGAAAAATCCTACATTCAAAAGAAGATGTTCTGGCACCAAGAACCCAGTAGAACATTCCCGCAAGACCAGGACCCACCCTGCCCCTTATTCCTAATCCCCACAGCACCCCAAGCCCTCACCTGTGCCTGCCGGGAAACATCTCTTCCTGCTGCCCAAGCCCCCCAGCTGCCAGGTCCCCACTCCCCTAACCTCCCAGCACTCAGCCTGCAGGGTCCCAGGTGCCGTGTCCTTTGCCTCTGGCACACGCCATGGCACATATGTCCTATCTCTCCCTATTGCCCTGTCGTTCCCCCACAGCTGACGAGAGACAGAACCAGAGGCAGGAGCCCGCCGGGGCACTCACGGAACATGGTCTCCAGCCGCACTAGACAGCACACGAAGTTGTCAAAGTCCACAGCCAGGTCTGGCTCCGAGTAGCGGGTGATAATGAGCTCATACAGCTTCTTGTTGAGCTTGAAGCCTGGCCCGGGAGAGTGGGTAAGGGCCAGGGAGGCATGGCCTGGCCCGAGGGGACAGGGAGGGGGACTGGAGACAGGAGGCAGGGTGCTCCCTGCAGCTCCAAGGCCTGAAGGCCTCCTGAGTAGGGCCCGCTGCTGGGAGGGGCTGGGCAAGCAAGTGCCAGCCCCAGAGGGAGCGAGGGCCTGACAGCCCCAGGGAATCAGGGGCCAGAGGGCCCAGGGGTCCAGTTTTATTTGTGCGGAAAGCCCTGGCCTCATCCTGACATGCACCTCCCTCACTGGAGGCTCAGGTGCCCAGCTCCACCCCTCCCTGGCTGTGTGGCCGCAGGGCAGTCACCTTCCCTCTCTGAGCCCTACTCTCTTCCTCGTACAGTGGAGATAGTAAGAGACCCTCGCCCAGTCAGGCTGCAGCAAGGGCAAAAGGAAATGCTGACAAAGCACTTAGCTCAGTCCCCACAGGATGCCACAACCCATCATCAGCACCACCCCAGGGACAAGGACAGTGTGCTAGCCTGCCACCCTGGGTCACCAGTGGGAATCGGCCTGGGGCCATCAGCCTCCGGCACTCAGGCCTTACCTGCAGACTCGATAGCCATCCGCATCTCGTAGGCGCTCATGCTGCCCGACTTGTCCAAGTCAAACTTCCGGAAGATGGACTGGAGCAGGGAGCGGAGGGTGAGGGCCGGGCCGCGGGAGGCACCCAGCCCTTCCCGTACCCCCCAGTGTGGGGGCTTGATGAGGGTGCAGGGGAAAGACCCAAAAGGCGGGCCAGGGGCTGGGATCTGGAGAGGTGGCTCCAGGGCGGGCAGAGGCCCAGCCTGGGATCAAGGCCACGGCAGAGGGCAGGCACCAGCAGGGCTGAGGGACCACCCACCAGGTAATTCCGGATTCGGTTCCACAGGATGTTAAACTCCACCAGGCCCAGTTTCCCGTTGCCGTCCCGCTGGGGGCTACTGTTAAGAAGCTTAAACCAGGGGCGTGTGGGACAATCATTCAGGTAAGTGTCTGCCTTCAGCCCAGGTCATGATCTCGGGGTCCAGAGATTGAGCCCGGCATCGGGCTCCCTGCTCAGCAGGGAACCTGCTTCTCCCTCTTCCTCTTCCCTGCTCGTGCACGTGCATGCACCCTTGCGCTCTAATAAGTTTTTTTTAAAAAAGGGCAGCTTAAAGGCACAGGGTGAGAAGCAACTGGGAAGAAGGGGAGACTGACCTCAAGGTGAGGGGAGATGGAGAGAGGCAGGAACCTGCAAAGCCAGGGGGGTTGGGTTTGGAGGGATACAAAAAGCACCAACTTGAAGGTCACTCAAGGACCTAGACCCTGCTCTATCACTCGCTCAACACAAAGCCTGTGCCTCCGTTTCCCCCTCCCAGGCACCGGGAAGTTGCCCGGGAAAAGAGCTGGTCTGTCCACACTTGACAGGGCTTTGTCCCTTTCTCTGCACTGTTCCCGGGAGAGGTCACAGGGTGTCTCTCTCCCACATGCTGCCCAACCCAAAGCAGCCTCAGGAAACAGAAGCGAAGGATACGTCCATGAGGTTCACCATGCTGCGGCATGACTCCAGGCTGAAGCCCTTGGTACGCAAGTCCTTGTCTGCAAGAAAACCAGTTCCAACATCTCAACCCCGCGAGCTTCTGCGGCACCACGCAGGGGTTCCCGGGTGGGACGGGGACCGGGGGAGCACGATTCCTGGCGCCTGGCGTGGAAAGTCTAGCAAAGTGGGTGTGTCAGGTCATTTTTATCATTAGCACGGTTTAAAGTACTAGAACAATCAAGCCGGTGTGCCGTCAGCCGTGTCCCTGCCACGGAAGAACCACGAATGAAAGGGAGTCAGCGCCAAACAGAAGTGGGACAGACGCAGTACAAACGTGAGGCCAAGGTGGCCACGGCAGGGCTGGGGTTTGCCACGGGCCCCACAGGGGGGCCAGAGGAGAGGGCTCTGGGCTGAGGGAGCAGCGTGGAAGGAGGTCAGAGGCGGGGACAAAGGGAAGGTCGGGGGTGGCTGCCCTTGGCTGTGCACATGGGGGTGGGAGTGGGGGGATGAAGCCAGCCTCATTCTGCTCAATGCCACTTGGCCCGGCCCTGGGGTGTATCTTCTTGAGGGGGGTGGGCTGCTCCTTCATACTATGGTGCTTGTCAACAGCTCCGCTTCTAGAACAATACTGAGCCCCGGCACTCGGACATAGAGAACAGGGACCGGCCAGATGGTGCAAGGAGTCCGAGAGGAAAGTGGGGTGAGCGGGGCTCGGAAAGGCAGTGGGGGCTTGCCCCGCCCACGAAGACCGAGGACTTGGGTTTGGCTCAACGTGGGAGCAGAAGCCCAGAGTGTGGAGTTCAGAGGAAGCGAGGACCCAGGGCGGAGAGGTGCGGGGACGCTCACGTTTGCTGATGATCCTGTTCAGAATGGTCTGCAGCTCCTTGACGCTGATCTCCATGTCCTGGGGGGAGACGGAGGATGGCACCACCCACCCTGGGGAAAGGCTGCCCCCCGTTGCCCCAGAGCCCCTCACCCCAGCCCACCCAGCCTACCTCCCCTGCCAGCTGCCTGAAGAGGGTCTTGAAACTCGCGTCAATCTCCTCTTCTGAGAGCACTTGCTGGATGGAGAGCACGGGAGAGCAGGTTAGGGACGAGGCTGGGACCACTTGTCACCACTTGCCCTCCTCCTCATGTCTCGGAACCTCACTCTTCTCACCTGGAAAGTGGGAATCTAGACCCCCCCCTTCCACCTGCCCAGGGCTCCGTGGCCCAAACTGGACACCCTTCAGATATGTGATGGGGGGGCAAGTTCCCAAACCTCCCTGAACTTGAGTTTCTCACTGAAGGGGAAGAGGGTGACGGCATCCTGACACGGTTGTCATGGAGGAAATAGGGTGACCGAGGAGCTCAGCAAAAACCCGAAAGAGACAAGAGCTCAGGGATCTCGCACCACTATTACCTCAAAAGCCTTTGCGAACTGTCAAGTGCTGGCCCGATAAGGGATCAGGATCCCTCTCACGGCTCTTCACACGAGCCAAGATACCCAGGTCCCCACAACACACCCAGGGTGAGGACAGAAGAGGAAGGCACAGGGCGGGGAGTGTGGGGGGTGGGTAGGACATGTACCTCATCAGGGAGATTGGCCTGGATCTGGTCGTCCAGCTCCCTGCAGGGGTCGGGAGAGAGGGGGTCCAGTCAGGAGGGCGCAGGGAGACCAGAAGCAGGCGGGGAGCAGGCACTGGCGAGAGGCCCTCTACTCACTGGGTCCCGGCGCTCTTCTCTGAGAAGAAGCGCAGCACGAAGTCCCCCTCCTTGTTGGGCTCGAAGGTGGAGGGCACCACCACGTACTCCCCAGGCGGCAGGCGGAAGCGGGTGCTGACCTCCCGCAGGTTGATGAACTGCTCTGAGCGCGCCCGCGACGAGTTCGCCAGGAAGAAGTCCCGCTTCAGGTGCACTGCGGGCTGGCCCACCAGCTGGCAGGAGGCAAGGAGGGGGCAGGGCTGCAAGCTGGCCACGCCCCCCATTCCCCCCAGGAGCTGCCCACTGATCCAGACCCTGACAACTCTGACAAATGGTTCCATCTGTTTCCTCATGGGTCAGGCGCAGGCGACAACCCTGCCTACCGCACAGGGCGGCGGCGAGGAGACACTCTGGAGGTGGACGGGGATACTAGGGCACCACTGAAGAAACATTCCCACAATTATTCCCCAAGTCACACAGCACAGGTACGTTCCAGGGGGTGGGGCCCTCGTTTAAAGCTCACCCCGGCCATGTGAGCTGGTATTCTCGCGCCCATTGAACAGACACTGACACTGAGGCTTGGAGCTAAGGCAGCTTGCTCAGGGCTGCAGAGTACTTAGCTAGTCCCAGGCAGCCGCAGCCAGCGCTCACTCAGGGGAAACAGCAAGACAGGAAGAGCCTCAGGTGATGGGGGAGGGCTGGGGGGTGCTCTGAGGGCCAGGGTTCAAATCCAGCTCCCTCACTTGTTACCTGCCCTGGCACCCAGGACAGCAGTGTCTGCCCCCTGCCCCGGGAGGAAGGAGGAGGGCAGTTAGCGAGCAGTAAGAGAAGGTGACTTCTTAACTCTCTACATGCAGGCCATCTTGCTCCCCTCCGGGCACCATCAGGCCCCCTGTGTTCAGGGGTATGGAAATCCAGGTGATTCCTGCGTCACACCTACCTCCGGAGGGACCTGCCAGAGAGATGGAGGAGTTAAGAGACCTGTGCTTGGCCTGGAGGGGGGTGGGCAGCATTTGCTGGGCAGAGGCCCTGAGTTCTTAAGAATGATGGGTTGAAGACACCAGGAGGCAGAGCCCAGGACCACTAGTGGCCCCAGACCCATCGTCACAGCAGAGAGGGATCGCAGGACCTCAGGAAAGGGAGCCTGGTCCTCTTCAGGCAGGAGGCAAGGTTCTCTTCATCTTCAGAACGCCCTGGGCCTTGGCTCTGAACCAGGGAACCCGGGACAGACCCCAGGTGGCCAGCTGCCATGTCCCAAAGGCCAGGGACATCAAAGGTCTACACCAGTCTGCGGCCAGGAGCTCTGGGCCTGGGCCATGACTGCAGCCATTCTTTGCCCCTACCAGCAAGGTCCAGAAGTTTCTGTCTTAAACATAAGGGGTGAAGCAAGGCCCTCCCAAGCCAGCCTCCGCTTATATACTTCTAAGACAGGGAGCTCACTACTCCACCAGGACAGCGCACATGCCTACTTCTTTCTGAAGCAGAGCCCAAGTCTGTCCCCTAGAAGCTACCCCCCCAGTTGTCAACTAAGCCAAATCCCTCTGTCCAAGAGCAACTTCAGCAGGTGCCTCTGGGGGACAGTGTCCCAGGCCTCCCGCCTGAACGCTATGGCAGCAGGGTCCTCTGGCGCCCTCTGCTGGGACTCGCCGGCAGCGCACCGGGAGGCGGGCTTCCCCGCTGGTTCTGGGGAACCCGGGGCTCACCTCGTAGACAGCGAAGCCAATGGTCTCCATGTCCCGGCCAAAGCGGCGCTCGCGGCGTCGGTGCTTCTGCATGAGGGCGAGCACGAAACTGCAACCTGACTCGCGACCCCCATAGTCGTCGTCTGTATCATCCGTCTCCTCCAACCGGATCTTGAACTGGGGATTGACCCAGAAGGTGGCTGCAGGAGGCGGGTGGTCGGCAGGAATCAGAGGAGGAACAGGGCGGAGTGGCCCCTCCGCGTGTCTGTTCACCCACTCATCCAACAAATAGTTCTAAGTGTATATACCGTGTGCCGTGTGACAGCCCTGCAGCGGGGACACACACAGTCCCTACCCTCCTAAGCTCGCGTTCCAGGAGGGGAGCAAAGTATGAGCAAGTCAGTATAATTGACAGAACAGTTACAAAAATAAGCAAGCTGGAGGTGGTCAGGCCCGGCATCTCCGAGGAGGTGATAATTGAGAGAGATGGGAAGGAGAAGCCCTGGGAAGACCCTGGGCAGCAGAAGAGAGAACCAAGAGCCCCACACATGAGGGACAGCCAGGGTCTAAGGCAGCATCCGGCTCCTGCAAGTACGGGGGATCCAGAAAGGTGGCAAAGGGGCAGGAGCAGGGTGGGTGGTAAGGAGTGTGGTTTGAATCAAGCAAAAGGACCTCCCCACCCACAACAGGCTTGCGCCAGGAGGGGCCCGAATGGATTCGGGTGACTGCTGTGTGGACAATGACCTAGGAAAGAAAAAGAGAAAGCAGGGTCTGACAGGAGGCCTCAGAGCTGCAAGGGTGACAAAGAAATTTCTGGCATTTGGTGATTCAGCGGCCCACAGCCCCTAAAACAACCAGGTGATGGATACGATACTGGAAACCGCTTTTTTTAGACACGAATAAGCCACGGCATTCCCCTCCCCCACACACAAGGTGACATTAACCAAAATGAGATGCGCTCAAGTGCCAGCCAGGATGTGGAGAGCAGAACCTCCGACAGGGCTGGTGGGGGTGCAGAAGGGGGCAGCCGCTGCGCAGAAGTCCGCCAGTTCTTCGAATGGTTAAACACAGAATGACCCTATGACCTTGCACTTCCACTCCAAGGCACACCCCCAAGTAAGCAAAAATGTACACTCACACAAAAACTTGCATGTGAGTGCTCGTAGTAGCATTATTTATAATACCCAAATGCAGAAATAACACAATTGTCCATCAACTGAGGAAGGGATAGGAAAATTGTGGCATAACCAAATGATGGAATATTATTCAGCAACAAAAAAGGAATGGAGCACAGGTGCACACTCTAACATGGGTGAGTGTACAAACAGGCAAATCCACGCAGACAGACAGACAGGCTGGGGTTACGTAGGAACGAGGTGGAAGAGGGGCTCAGGAGCGACAGCTATGGGGTGTGTGGTTCCTTTTGGGGGTAAAAAATGTTCTAGGGGAGCCTGGGCTGCTCCGTGGATTAAAGCCTCTGCCTTCAGCTCAGGTCATGATCTCAGGGTCCTGGGATCGAGCCCGGAATAGGGCTTTCGGCTCAGCAGGGAACCTGCTTCCCTTCCTCTCTCTCTCTGCCTGCCTCTCTGCCTACTTGTGATCTCTGTCAAATAAGTAAATCTTAAAAAAAAAAATGTTCTAAAATTGATGTGGTGATAGATCTACAATATATGAAAATACACAGTGATTTTTATACTTGAGGGAGGTAAATTCTATCACATGTGAAGTACATCTCAGTAAAGCCTTTTTAAAAAATGGACATGAGGTGGGGGACCTGGGTGGCTCAGCAGGTTGTGTGTCTGACTCCGGCTCAGGTCATGGTCTCGGGGTCCTGGGATCAAGCCCCACGTCAGGCTCCCCACTCAGCAGAGAGTCTGCTTGCCCTTCTCCCTCTGCCTCTCCTCCTGCTCATGCTTTTGTCTCTCAAATAAATAAACATAATCTTGAAACAAACAAACAAGCAAAAAGGACACTAGGAGCCTACAAGGTAAATAACGCCAAAGGACTTCTGTTGACTCCTGGAAACCCTGAGCCCTGGGACAGGAGACCAAATCTAATAGGATGGCACCTGGGCAGCTCACGCGGTTAAGCGTCATTAGCTCAGGTTGTGATCCCAGAGTCCTGGGATGAGTCTGGCATCGCATCGGGCTCCCTGCTCAGCAGAGAGTCTGGTTCTCTGCCCCTCCCCTGGCTCATGCGCTTTCTCTCTCTCCCTCTTGCTCACTCTCTAAGTAAATAAATAAAATCTTTAAAAAAATATCTAATAGGAGATCCTGGTGATAAAACTGAGACCCTATGAGGAATGCCAACAGTATTAATAGTGATAGAAAAACAAACCCCGTTGGGAAGAAGGGGGAAAAAATCTCCCAGAGAATTTAGACCCACAAGCCTTCAAGAGAGCTTGTGGTTTTACTTATTTATTTACTTCATTTTAAGATTTTATTTATTTATTTGATAGAGATCACAAGTAGGCAGAGAGGCAGGCAGAGAGAGAGGGGAAAGCAGGCTCCCCGCGGAGCAGAGAGCCCGATGTGGGGCTCAATCCCAGGACCCTGGGACCATGACCTGAGTCGAAGGCAGAGGCTTTAACCCACTGAGCCACCCAGGAGCCCAGAGCCTGGGTTTTACTTCATGCTTCCTGTGAGGTCAAGGAAATCTTAAGGAGAGAATTTGTTTTTGAAAGAGTCCTGGGTTGGCAGCATCCCAGGTGACTGACAGAAACACTAGAGGAACCTAACTTTACCCAAGGACTCAAAGATCTCCCACCCATGAACTTGTAGGCCAAATGAGTCAAAAATCTCACAATGCAGGGGCACCTGGGTGGCTCAGTCGGTTAAGCGTCTGCCTTTCACTCAGGTCATAATCCCAGGGTCCCGGGATCGAGACCCACATGAGGCTCCTTGCTCAGCGGGGTGTCTGCTTCTCCCACTGCCTGCTGCTCCTCTGCTTATGCTGACAAATAAATAAAATTTTAAAAAAATCTCACAAGGAAAGAAGGCATGAGGAGTAAAAACCAGCAGCCACAGTGGACGAAAACCAACCCACCAAGACTTCAGATATTGCAATAATCAGACACAGAATATAAAAAAGACTAGGCTTATATATTTAAAGAAATAAATGAAAAACTTGAAAATATGAGGGAGAATGAACAGATTTGAAAAAGAGATATCAGAACTTCTAGACGTAAATTTTTAAACAAAATTAAGTACTTGTTAGAAGGATTAACCAACAGGGGCACCTGGATGTCTCAGTGGGTTAAGCCTCTGCCTTTGGCTCAGGTCATGATCTCAGGGTCCTGGGATCGAGCTCCGAATCGGGCTCTCTGCTTGGCGGGGAGCCTGCTTCCCTCTCTCTCTCTCTGCCTGCCTCTCTGCCTACTTGTGATCTCTGTGTGTCATATAAATAAATAAAATATTAGAAAAAAAAAAGACATTAGAGAATTGAGAATGGAAGGAACGCTCCAGAATGTGACCCAGGGAGATTAGATGGAAAACTGAAGTGATGTTAAGAAACACAGACAACTAAGCGAGAAGTTCCAGCTTACATTAGATTGGAATTCTAAAAGGAAAAAAATGAAGAGTGTAAGACAGAGCTGCTGTTCTAGAAGATCATGACTAAAAATTTTCTAGAATTGTCTGAACACATCAATTTGCAGGTGGACAAAGTCCAATGACTCCAAAGAGGAATGAAAAGAAATCCACACCTCAGTACATCATGGTGAAATGACAGAATATCAAAGGTAAACAATCTTAAACCAGAAAAGACAAAGCATTGCAGGAGGCGTGGGAGACAAGAGTCCGACTCCCAAAGCAACGGAAGCAGAATTGAGAGTAACAACTTCCTTCAATGGGCTGAAAGTCTCACAACCCAGAATTCTGCGTCCAGAGAACTGTTGAGAATAAACACCCTATAAGGACACTTTACAGATCTACTGAGAATGTTTACAGAAGGAGGGAGGAGGAGATGAAGGACAGTAAGAAAAGGGTATATTTTGGGGAGATGGAAAATGGTCTCAGATGAAAGTTGTGAAAATGGTGAGAAAAAAACTGTTATGTGGAAAATCTAATGAATATGGACTATATCAAATAGTGATGATGATGATATTTAAGAATTAAATATAAAGATATTAAGAAAAGTGTTTAGAATTAAAATCTAAAAACAGCATATTAAACAAAGGGAGGGGTGAGCCAAGTTAAGTAGTCTAAGGTCTTTGCATCGTTCAGGAGGAGGGTAAAGATATTGATCAACTAACTTCAGAATGTATTAAGAACGTATATCTTCGGGGCTGCCTGGGTGGCTCAGTCGTTAAGCATCTGCCTTAGCTTGGGACAGGATCCCAGGGTCCTAGGATAGAGCCCCACATCGGGCTCTCTCCTCAGCGGGAAGCCTGCTTCTCCCTCTCCCACTCCCCCTGCTTGTGTTCCCTCTCTCGCTGTGTCTCTTTCTCTGTCAAATATATAAATAAAAAATCTTCCAAAAAAAGTATATCTTCCAAATTCATAGACTGAAAAGCCAGCAGAGAAAAAGGTTAAAGAATTCAATCCAAAATAAGGCATAACAGGAGGGACAAACAAAATGCGCAGTAAGTCTGCTGAAATAAATACAAAGTTATTAGTAGTCACTGTAACTGTAAGTGGATTAAACTTTCTAATCAAATGGCAAAGTTTTTCAAACAGATTATTAAAAAGCCAGCTACAGTCAGTTTACAAGAGTAACAACTAAAACACTGAGCTATAGAAAAGATCAGACATCACAGAGTATAATGAAACATACCACAAAATTACTAACCAGAAGAAAACTGGAATTGCTATAGTGACATCGAGTGAAATAGACTTAAAACTACAAGATTTGTTACTGAAGGGGGAGCCTAGGTCGCTCAGTCACTAAGCATCTGCTTTCGGCTCAGGTCACCATCCCAGGGTCCAAGGATGGAGCCCCACACTGGGCTCCCTGCTCTGCAGGGAGCCTGCTTCTCCCTCTCCCACTCTCCCTGCTCATGTTCCCTCTCTTGCTCTCTCTTCTCTGTCAAACATATAAACAGAATCTTAAAAAAAAAAAAAAAAAAAAGTTGTTACCAAAAAAGGTAGCCATTAAATAACAACAGAACAGGTTCAATTCACTAGCAACTTAAAACAACTCTAAGCCTGATGCACCTAATATCATAATGCAGAACATGTAGAGAAAAATAACTGATAGATAC